AGATAGATAGATAGATAGATAGATAGATAGATAGATAGATAGATAGATAGATAGATAGATAGATAGATAGATAGATAGATAGATAGATAGATATGTACAGGTAATCCTCAACTTATAACAGTTCATTTAGTGACTGTTCGAAGTGACAATGGCCATGAAAAAAGTGACTTATGACAAATGTTCACACTTATGACAATTACAGCATCCTGATGGTCACATATTCAAAAACTTGACAACTGACTCATAATTATGACGATTATGGTCTCCCAGAGTAATGTATCTCCTCTTTGCGACCTTCTTACAAACAAAGGCAGTTCACTTAACAACCGCCTTACTAACTTAACGACTGCAGTGCTTAACTTAATTCTGTGGCAAGAAAGGTCATAAAATTTGGCAAAATCCACTGAACAAATGTCTGTTCTATTAGCAACAGAAATTCTGGGCTCAGTTGCGGTTGTAAGCTGAGGACTACTTGTACAATATCTAATAACACAGGATTACCTCTAGTAAACATATATATTTTGAATCCTAGTAATCTAGAATGCTTTTTCAAAGGTGTGATCTGCTTTAAATCCAAGAAAACCCCGATCTAATAAATCATGGATTTAAAAAAAGGTATTAAAATCATAAGAACATTACAGTTATTATGCTGGGTGAGACTGAAAGTCACCATTCATTTCTCACAGCAAGTAATCAAATGGAGGACGTGTACAATTGAGTCTTTCCATTCAAGACTCTCAACAACTGGTATTCATAGACATCTGGAGTTAACAGATGGCTGTCATAAGTATTATAATCAATTGTCTTATCTTCCATGAATTTGCCTGCTTGTCTTTTACAGCTACCCAAGTAGTTTTCGCATGGATGAATACAGCTATTGTAAGAACATAGTGAGAGAGCCATTTAGACCTCACTTGGATGGGAAGTAAATGGACTCATTAAAAGCATTTCCAGAATGGATGTGCCTGTGGTTAATGCTATTATTGCTCATGTAAAACAGTTAAATCATGATTTCCTTCTTAGAAAAAGGTTCTGTGGATGATGACGATTCCTTTTAAGAGTATGTATTAGAACCGAACCTCCATAAAAGTAATGTGATGTTTTAAACTTCACCTTCACAGAAGGCATCAGAATGGGAGAGAACTCTGTCATTTCAGTATACGCTGTGTATCAGAAAGGCATCAGCCGAGCCAGCTCTATCCAGAGTGAGTACAACTCAAGCAGACAAATTGTAAAAGATTAATGATAGTTACTGATATAGAAAATTTCCAGCTACATTTCGTCCAAACCATAGGTTTCTTTTATCTGGGTGTGTACTCTACAGATTGTGTGTGTTTATGAGTTTCTTTCAGTCAATCTTGTCTCTAGATGATTGCCTAGTCCTAGGATGGAGAACCTGTGGCATGTGTGCCACGGGGGCACGTAGAGCCCTCTCTGCGGACAACCCAGCCATCACCCCAGCCCAGCCCCACCATGCATGCATGTGCACCTCTCGCCGGCCAGCTGGTGTTCAGGTCTCTGCCGTGCGAGGGGGCAGGGCGCATGCATGGGGGGCACTTGCATTGCATTTTGGGGCCTCGTGCATCCCCCTGTCCCCTGTTTTGGCTTTCAGGCTGGTGCAGGAGGCCTTCCAGGTGCAAAACAGGGTGCGGGGGGGGGGGGGTGTTGCACACACATTGCATTAAGGGTGTGCGCGCTTTTGGCACACGGTGGCAAAAAGGTTAGCTATCACTGGCCTAGGCAAGTCCCTGCAGTTTTCTTAGCAAAATATTTGGAAGTGGTTTGACATTGACTCTGCCCTAAGGATGAGATTGAGTGACTATTCCAAAGTCACCCACTCGGCTTGGTGCCTAAGGGAACACTAGAATTCGCAGTCACCCAGTTTCCAGCCTGCCCTAAATAGCTACACCAAACTGGTTCTCTACAGATGGAACAAAGAATGACGCTCATCCAAAATAGTATTTTATTTTTAAGACTTGTCTAGAACAGAGTCTTACCCCCAAAGTATTTTGCATTCAAAATCTTAATGTTCAATCATGAAAGCATGTGAAACTAAATTCAGGTCTGTTTTTTATGTCATCCAGAAAGCAGGATATGTGTGTGTGTGTGTGTGTTTGTGTGTGTGTGTGTGTGTGTGTGTGTGTGTGTGAGAGAGAGAGAGAGAGAGAGAGAGAGAGAGAGAGAGAGAGAGAGAGAGAGATTTGTTTTCAACCTCTCAATATTCCATGCGTATAGTCA